CCTGCCTCTGCCTCCCAAGTGCTGGATTAAAGGCGTGTGCCACCAATGCCCGGTTGTGTATACATTTTTAAAGTGAAAAATATACATTATAATGTTGTTTCTCCCATGTCTTCCAACACAGGCCTGAGAAAGTAGAAGGCACTTTCTATTTTGTGACAGTCTGGAAATTAATTTGAGAATCGCAAACTGTCTCTTTATAACCCTTTGCCGGAGGCTTTTTTATTTTTATTTTTTAAATCAAATTGAGGTAGCCAATATAGTTTTCCAATAAACATGATTTCTTAAAGCAAACAAGAAAACTATTGCTTTATAAAATAAATCACATTTAGAATATACATGGGTGTTTGTATGCACTATGTGCATCTATATGCGTATATATGTATATGTATGTGTGTATTTGTATAAATGTGAGCATATGTTTGTGTGTATGTAAGAGAAAGAGAAAGAAGGCAAGTTTATAAAATTATCACAGTTACTCTCATTTAATAAAACTGAGATTGATGACCCCATATGAAGAATTATAGAATACTGGGTTGGATTTAAACAAAGAAAACCATAATGCTATATTGTTTGTTCTTTCTATTTAGTGGCCAAGTGGTGGTCACTCTTACCTTAAATTTCCCATCATTGGAGAAAATGCTAACCCACTTGTTATCATAATCTGCGATGATGATGTCCCCACTGGGATGCACTGCCACCCCTGTGGGCCGCTGTAGCTGTCCGGGTGATCGTCCTCGGATGCCAAAGCGACTTTTGAATTGTCCATCATTGGAAAATATCTGTACAATGAGTTTGCATTCATTAGAATCTGAATTAGCCCAAACATCACTGGGACAGGAAAAGGCATTTATCAAATACACTACAGAACAGAACATACCAATGCTGCTTAAGAACCCCCCCCACACACACACACATGAAAACAAAATTACAACAAATAAAATTAAAAGTCTACATATTCCTTTGATTCTTCTCCATACCATTTATCTTGAATCTAAAATATAGAAGTATACATCCATCTCTAGCCAACACAAGCAAAGGAACATACACGTAAGGCCATACCTGCACGCACTGGTTGTTACTATCTGCAATTAATATCTTTCCACTCGTAGATGCAGCTACACCCTGAAGGTTTGTGAATTCTCCTTTATTTCTTCCTTTAGTACCTAAGAATAAATAAGAAAAAGCATAGAAATTAAGTTGTAGAGAATTAGATTAGCAAAAGAATAATCCAAGTTTCCATACGTAGCCTGAGCATACATTGTCTTTTTTCATTTCCATGGTAGGGATGGAAGCCACAGCCAAGTGTATGCTGAGCATGTGTAGCAGCTATATCCACAGCCTCTGCATGGCCTTTGAAACACATGGGGGACAGGTGGGGGGAGGATGTGAGGGGAGCTCTTCCCCTATGACTTAATCCATGAACTACTCACCTTCTCTTTTAGACCAATAAAATCTTGGAAAAACCATTTTTAATCAAATGCTAATTTTCTCTAATCAATCTGTAGCTAAATATTAATGTGGTTAAAATATATTCAACTTTCACAAAAAATAATAAAAAATATTCCAACCATGGAGCTACAATGAGAGAGGGGTGTGTTTTAGAGTTTTGTCAAAATCTCACTCTCTTACTCAGTAGCTCTCAGGGGAAGCCGGGACTTTCTGAGTATGTAATGTACTCTAAAGCCACCGATGTTGTGAAAGTGCGATGTGGTTGTCACACGATGGATCCACTTCTGCTTTCTTCTCTAAGACTCTGGACTTTGGTGACTATGTATATTCCTCATGTCTTACTTGACTTCTTTTGTTGTTGGTCTTTTTTTTTTTTTTTTTTTCTGACAGGGTCTTACTATGTGTGGCCTAGGCTAGCCTGGAGTTTGCCCCTTCCCTTAGTCTCTATAGGCCTGGGCTTAAGGTCAAACCTGTCAACAGTTATCCCTTTTTATTTCAAGAGAATGCTGAATACTAATGGGTGGAAACAAACAATCAAAACTAAGTTAGAAAGCTTAACTTTTCCCGGGCCTTGGTGGCGCACACCTTTAATCCCAGCACTCGGGAGGCAGAGGCAGGAGATCTCTGTGAGTTCGAGGCTAGACTGGTCTCCAGAGCGAGTGCCAGGATAGTCTCCAAAGCTCCACAGTGCCAAACAGTCTTGAAACCCCCCCCCCCAAAAAAAAAGAGAAAGAGAGAGCTTAATTTTTAATTCCTAGTGAGAAAAATAAATTATAATTTATATTAAAAGTGCGGTTTAATATTTTTTAGCCATCAGTACGGTGCTTGAAGAAAGTGGAGGAGGGCAAGCTGAAGAGGGCTGGTATCTAGCTCAGGCTGAAGTGTGGGTTGTGAACTGACTCTTTAGAAACAGACCTGGGTTTAAGATTGGAACTGGTGATGGCTAAAACTCCAGAACAAATCAACAATAGAATTGCTGGGCGGGACAACTTGGGATCCCCTGGTTTTTACCAGACCCGAATGGCCATCATTGTATCAAAGTCAGGGGCCCTCTTAAGTTTACTTGTGTCTGCTGTATCTAATGTCTACAAGCATGAGAGGAAAAAAAAAAATCAAATCCCCAAAGATAAAGTCCTGCATCATGAAGGAAACTACTATTTCATCAGCTATATCACTTGATCCACAAGAATCTTTGTACTAAGCCTGAATGCAGAATGAGTGAACACATTTTTAAAATGGTGTGTGAGAGCAAGGCATTGAGGGACACAAATGGAGCCCCAGCAGGGCAACTGCTTGAGCTGGGGAATTCAAAGCCAGCCTGGACAACGATTGTGAGAACCAGGCTCACAACAAATAAACAGACAAATAAAAGATAAATAAGAAGATAACTTGAGTAGGTATCTGATCATACAGATGAGAAAGCTGCAGTTGGCCCTGTAAAGAGGTGCTGAGGTGCTGATGTGGTTTGCGTGGGCTCCCTGCTGATGTCAGAATAACTGGACACAGGAATAGCAAACTGAGGGCCAGGAAAAGAAAGAACTCTACAATGTTCACTTTAAAAGCCCCCCCCCCTTTCTCTTTATTGAGCCATACATTTTTCCCTCCTCCCCTCCTCCCCTCTGCCCTTCCACCTCCCTCACCCCCCCCCCAAATGCTCCCAATTCACTCAGGAGGTTTTGTCTATATTGCCTTTCTAGGCAGATCCATGTATGTCTCTCCTAGGGTCCTCCTTGTTACCTAGTTTCTCTGGGGTTGTGGCTTGTAGGCTGGTTGCCCTTTGCTCTATGTCTAATATCCACTTATGAGTGAGTACATATTATATTTGTCTTTCTGGGTTTGGGTGCCATCCATTTGTCTAAGAGTTTCAAGATGTCAATGTCTTTTTACTGCTGAGTGGAACTCCATTGTGTAAACGTACCACATTATCCTTATTCACTCTTTGGTTGAGGGGCATCTAGGTTGTTTCCAGTTTCTGGCTATTACTAATAAAGCTGCTATGAACATATTTGAGCAAATGTTCTTGTGGTGTGAGTGTTCATCCTTTGGGTATATGCCCAAGAGTGGTATTGTATGGTCTTAAGGTACATGGATTGCCAATTTTCTGAGAAACCGACGTATTGATTTCCAAAGCAGCTGGACAAGTTTGCACTCCCACCAGCAAGAAAGTATTGTTATCCTTTCTCCACATCCTCTCCAGCATAAGCTGTCAGAGTTACAAACATCTTTTTAAATGTGATAAGGTGAGTGCTTCTAAGAAAAATAAGAACCCAAACCTCTGTTTTTTTTTTTTTTTTCAAAAATACACTTATAATCCCGGCACACCCAAGGTGATGTAAAGAAGGAGAATGACTTGAGACAGATAGTCCCTGTCCCAAAATAAATAAAATTAAAAATTCATAAACAAAAGCATGAAGTTATCAGAAGGAGGCTTCAGGACCAATTTGAAAGCAAGAGTCTTGGGGCCCATGGGTGAGATGTCTCAGGTCAGTCCCAGAAGCCTGGCAATCAGGATTCAACCCCTGGAGCCATGTAAAGGTGGAAGAGAGAACAGACACACTTGTTGTCCTCTGACCTCCACACATGCAATGGCATATTGCACACTAATAGTAATAATAATAACCAGGTGGTGGTGGCGCACACCTTTAATCCCAGCACTCAGGAGGCAGAGCAGGTGGATCTCTGAGTTCGAGGCCAGCCTGGTCTACAGAGTGAGTACCAAGAAAGCCAAAGCTACACAAACCCTGTCTCAAAAAACAAACAAAAATAATGATAATAATAACAATAATAATAAATGCAATGTTTTAAAGAGCCAGAGCCTTATAACTGGAAATGGAACAGAAACAGAAGAAATAATGACCTTAAAGAAACCCCAGTGTTGTAGAGCGGTGCCCGTGTGAGTGATGAGAAATACAAGGGGAGAATGACTGAGAGACACCTGAGCAGAATAGATGAACATGATGGCTTTCCTTCAGGTCCAGGCAGGGACAAACACCACTTGTGGATCTCCTTCATTTAATTGTTAGTCTGTTCTGCTAAGGACAAAGGCCATTGTGTTTCCAGAAGACTCGGTGGATAGTAGGAAATGGAGAAGACAGTGTTAGTGAAAGCCAACACTGTCCTGTTAAAAAGATTCTGCTCTGTTACTAGAACACACAGGTGATGCTGGAATAAGGAAAATATAGGTGCCCTAAACACCAACATATTTTTGTGCTGTACAAAAATAAGGCCACTTTTCTGAGCTTCGGTAGAAATAGGAAATAACTGCACTGGGGACAGGAAGACATTTAGTTAAACTCCATGTTAATCCAGTCAGAGCCCTGGGGCAGGAAGATTCTGTCTTTCTGCAATGAAGGAGAGAAGCTCAGAAGCCACCAATTTTGGGTCACTGGAGCACTGGAACAAAGCACACTGCTGAAAAGAGGTTAGGCAGGCTCAGCAAGGCCACCCAGCAGGTAAAGCCATTACCACTCAATGTACGTGAAAGCCTGAGTTCCTGTCCCACATCCCACATAAAAGAGAAAACCGCCTCCCAAAAGTTGTCCTCTGATATACACAGGCATGTCTACACTCACACAGAAACACACCACCACTACCAAAACAGAAAGAAGCTATTATTTAAATTTCATAATGGTAAAACCTCCATCTCTATCCATCTCCTCCTGCCTTCCTTCTTTTCAGGTGCTGAGGACCATCCCCACCCCCAGCCTTGCATATGCCTGAGCAGTATCCTGCCCTCATTTGATGGGGCTTGTCCTTCTGTGTACATATTTCTCTTATTGGTTGATGAATAAAACACTGTCTGGCCAATGAGGCAGGAAGATAGGCGGGACTAGGACGAGGAGAATTCTGGGAAAGGGAGGGAGAAACCCCCCCCCCCCCACACACACACACCCGAACAGTAGCCATGTGAGCCGCCAAAGGATTTGGAGGTCTGGACCCTTCTCCAGTAAGATAAGACCACGTGGATAGGTGGAAATACTTAGATTAATAGAAAGAAGCCCAAGCCACCAGCCAACAGATTTATAATTAATATAGTGTCCGTGTGTTTATTTGGGGCTCAAGGGCCACGGGACCAGCCAGGACAAGAGAAAAAGAACCTCTCATTATGTTACACTCATTTTTATGTATTTATTTATTTATTGTTTTTTTTTTTTTTAACAGTTACAGCTTTGGCTGTACAGTTCCAGGCTGTCCTGGAACTCACTTTGCACACCAGGCTGGCCTTAAACTCACAAAGATCGGCCTGCCTCTGCCTCCCGAGTGCTAGGATTAAAGGTGTGCGCCTGTCCTCATTCTTATGAGCACCTTTTGTCTTGTCAGATATTCCCACCATCGGTTCTTTTTCTTGAACAGTGTTTGAAAGCATGGCAGGATGAGTGTTTTCCTGAGGCTTAGAGGATGGCATCAGCATCCTCTTGAAAGACAATTGAGGCTGATTACTTCTCATTGGCAACTGAACAGTAGATGCTGAACAATGCTGGGGTATCGTGAGGATGGAATGTACAAGTGTTTATAAAGTGGCTTATCAAGAAAATGAAGCAAATAGAAATTAAAGAAGTTAGAATTATTTGGTATCAAGCTCTACATTTCCAGCTCCTTGGGAAATTCTATTAGGTCTACAGGCAAGCCTCTCCTTTCTACAGTATTCTACTTGAGTGAAGAGGTCTGGTGATGCTGCCCAGTCATAGAGCACTTTCCTAATGTGTTCAAGACC